TGGAATTCTGGTTTGTCTTCAGATCTTCTTTTTGGTGTTAAAAGAGTCCAAAATGGTGTGCATTATTTTGATGAAGTAGAAACACCTGCTGAACTTGTTAATGGAAGTTGTCATGTTAAGATAGATGATGGGATAGCTGATAAGTGTTTACAAGGATGGGAGAATTGTCTCCTTGGTTATTTTTTGGGAAGAAGACCAGAGTGGTTGTACGTGAAATCCATGTTAAAGAAAATGTGGAAATTAGAGAGCGATCCTGAAATTTTTGCCCTGAATGATGGATTTCTAGTGTTTTGCTTTCAAAACAAGGCGGAGATGGAAGTTGCAAGAACTGGAGGCCCTTGGATTGTTAATAAGAAGTGTCTAGTTTTACAAAATTGGGACCCCTGCAAGTAAACCATCAAGAAAGATGCGACAACATGTGCCAGTGTGGATCAAATTCCCTGAATTTTACCTATGGAGTTTTGGGAACCAAAAATCCTTTTTCAAATTTCGCCACGAGTCGGGAAACCTTTGTTCATGGATAGACCCACAAAGTTGAGATCCAGGCCAGAACCGAGAGTATGTATTGTGCTGGACTTAGACGCACCACGCCTGAACAAATTTAATTATGAGATCAAAGGTCAAACATACAAACAACAAGTAATATATGAATTCATCCTCATTTCTTGCCCATCTTGTAAGAAAATAGGTCACACGTCAGATATTTACATAGCTACCTTGCCCCTTAAGGCCAAACATGTCATTAATAGTCTCATAACATTATTATATGGAGAAGTAGGTTGGCACGTAGTTAAGGAAGAAACCAACTCATTTATAAAAAGAAAATAATGGATAATTCTAATACCTTTTTAGTTTTAGAAAATTGTGCAGGGGATGGTGACGATGAGTATTAGAATTGTGTTGCTACTAACAAACTAGCAGCCGTGGATATTGTGCCTGAGAATGGTGGTCTCGATAGTGATGGACATGTGCATGATGAAGTGGAGTCTTTGACACATAAGCAAGAGTATGAAGTTGTTATTTTAGATATACCAATTGTTACAATACTCCCTTAATGGCTGATGCAAAAAAGGATATTATTTCTTTTTCGGACTGTGTTGAGCAATCTACTGATGTAATAGTAGATGGTAGAGGCGATACATAGGGAAATATAGAGAATGTTTTAAATCAATTAGGTGGGATTTAAAATTCCAATATGCTGCTTTTGACTAATGACAAGCATCCTGTTGCAACTGATTTGGTAATGATGGAGAATCAACCAACTGCTTTTGACTAAGATCGAAGGAAAGAATGTTGCATCAACCAGCTCCGGTTTCAGTTAAGTGGGATGGAAAAAGTTCACCCTCAATCCACCATTTAGCTAAGTGGACCTAAAACGTTGCCGAAAAGGGCTCAAAATTTTTAAAAAGATACACCAGTTAGTGGTGGAAAACTAGGTAAGCATCCTAATTTCATCTCTTTTTTAATTCTTTTGTTTTATATGTCAGTGATCTCTTGGAATGTTCGTGGTCTTCGTGGCCCTGGTAGAAAGTCAGCTATCGATATTCTGGTGAACAATAATAATGTTGGTATTATTTTCCTATTGGAAACAAAATTACCCATAGTGTTGAGTGCTAGTTGGGCAAGAAAATTGGGATTCTATGATAATGTAATTGCTAATGAGGTGGAGGGGAAATCTAGAATTATGGTACGTGGAATCCATTGATATTTTCTTCTCAAGTTGTTGATATTGATGAACAGGTGATCACAATTCATGCTAAACGACTATTTAAAGGAGTTTCTTTGACAATCTATGGTGTTTATGCTTGTAATTCAGTTGCTAAAAGAGCTTTATTGTAGGATCATATGAGGAACATATGTGGTACTATTACGGTTTCCTGGCTTGTTATGGGGGAATTTAACAACATTTTGGACAACTCTGAGAAAGTTGGCGGCAGAGACTCCTTACCCCAAGATCCAAGGGATTTTGCTACTACTCTTGTTGATTGTGCCTTGACATATCTTGGCTCGGCCAAAGGTTGATTTTCTTGGTCAAATAGTTAGAGTAGAGGCAGATGCTTACGAGAGAGGTTTAATCGCGCGCTGGCCAATATGGAGTGGGTTTTCTCTTTGTAGCGTCTAAGGTGGAGCTCTTGCCAAAGGGTAACTTTGATCATTCTCCTCTATTAGTTTCTTTGTTTAATTTACCTCCTAGTGGTCCAAAACCCTTCAAGTATTTTACCACATGGCAGAAAGCCCTTGGTTTCAGGGATATTATCTTTAAGTCTTGAAATGGTACGGTCAGGGGTACTCCTATGTATAGATTTGTTTCAAAATTGAAAAGACTTAAAGAAAGATTTGCGTGATTGGAATAAAATCTCTTTTGAATTCGTTGGTGTTCAAATTTCGAAAATCCATCAACGTCTATCTATTCTTTATGATGACTTTAGTCGAGAACTTTCTAATGAGGAGCTTATGCTAAAGGAGAAGGCTTTTACAAATGCATTACAGCAACTACTATCCCATGAAGAGAGTATTTGAAGGCAGAAATCTAGACAGACATTGTTGCGAGATGGCAATTCCAATACCAAAACTTTCAACTTATCCACTATTATCAGGAGAAAAAGTGACCAAATAATTGCATCGGAACCCGATTGACTCGGAAGATAAAATTGGCCAACATATGGTCACTTTTTTCGAGGGCTTAGTTGCTAGTTATAAGTGATCTTCTTCAAAAGAAAAGAAAAAGAAAAGAAAAAGGGTGAAAAGAAGAAAAATAAAAAATATATATTTTTCGACAAGATTGCATTAATCTTTCTTTCAATTAATTTCATATCTAGCTAACTGTATACTTGATCTTGGGTAGGATCAAGGTGTTTGAGATTCCTAGTTTTGAAATGAGAGGTTCGCAAGGATCCTACCGACTATTTTTTAACCTTGAAATCTTTTTTTTTGTTTTTTTTATTCTATTTTCGTATCCCTGAGGTCAAGATTATTAATTTGCAGGTTTTCGAGCATCATAAAGGCATTTTACGATAAGACTTAAGTGCCTTTTTATACAGCCATAACCTCACAAAATAATTTCCCTTTTCATAATGTAGGTGATCCAAATTACTATGTGCATTTTGACGCTTTGTTGACCACGAGCACAGGTACTATCTGCATATTGGAGCTCTCTTTGAGGATATCACGGTTGTCGATAGCTTTAACCACCATTATTAATATTCTCATGGACAACTATTAATTTTTGTATTTTTATTGAAATTACGACCTTCTATGGGGAAATTTAATTACAAAAAAGTTTATATAAGGTGTCTACCTTATACTATTGAAGTAAGGGACACTTCAAAAACGCACTTGAAAGGTTGTTCTAAAGCTAGAAACCCCTTAAATTGGTCATCTCAACTTCGAGATATGCGTATATGACCAAAAAAAAGTAAAGTCATAAAAATAGTTTATCTAGTGATGCTTTATCTCGACTGTCCATTTGAAAACTTTCCAATTATTGATATTTGATTTGCATCGATTTTTAGAGCTTTAAATTTTATAACTAAGGATGAAAATATATTTTCATACCATCGCAAGATGACCAAATCACACACTATATTTTCGGGTCCAGGTCTAGGTCCGGCCGAACCCTAACACTTTCATGGAAAAGTGGCACACACAAAAGAAGCAACCACTCAAGCCCAAGCCTGAATCCTTTCATATGTCTTATCTTTTTTCCAGTGCTGACCATGGAGACGAACCATTGCGATGCCATAATCCGCTTCAGAACTGCAAGTATACTACCACGGCTCCTTGTTTCTTGAACATTTAAAATAAAAGGAAAGATGAGTAGAATATATTGTGCTCCTACAAAACGAAGAACTCCACATACCTAACCACCCTAAAAATGTCTCTCTCTCTAAAGGCTCTCAAATGCCAAGTAAATTTTCTCTCTAAAGGCTTTCAAATGCGAAGTAAATTTTCTTTATATGTAGCCTATGATCCTCTAGGTTTTTTCCTTTTTTAAAAAAAAAAAAAATTATCGTTAGGAACCCTTCAAAATGACCCAACTTCAACAATCATGGATCTAAAGAGAATAAATATTTTAAAAGTGATTTATCTTATAATACATATTTTAGACCCTTACAATATATTTTCAAGGTAATCTTCTAAACTAGTATACCCAATGTTTTAAAAACCAGCCATCCGACTTGAAACCAATAGGTGATCAGTTCACGTGTAAAGCCCCCAAGCTCGCCTGGTTCCCACCATTTTTTCTTTTATGCATATACTTCCACAGAAAACCAGCTCAGTTCTAATTCATTCACTGAACCGGATCGGTTCAATAGGCCAATCTAGGTCTTGAAGCAGTGTTTACCGCATGCTACAGTAACTTTAAGGTTTGAAACAGAAATACTAACGTTGTGTTGAGATGTTGAATACTTCTCCGTTGGTTTATTAAAGCAGATAAGAAGTGGGCAAGACCGATCTACACCAAGTCACCTAAATTCTCATTTATGAACTGAAAAGTGAAACAAATATTCACAACCGAAAAGGGGAAGTTCAAAAAGAAGAAAGGCTCAATCCTCACCTTCCCCCAACCCTCAATATTTACACTGCAAGAGTAGAATACAGAAAAGGAAAAATAAAAAATAAAAAAAAATCATTAACATTTATAAGCCAAAAAAATATGAAGATGAACCCTAATAATAGCAACTGAACGAATTTGATGAGAGAGAGGACAAAAGATTTCTTTAAAAGGAAAAATAACTCCCTATCCCTATTTTTAAGTTCCATTTCACAATAGACCAAAAGTTTTAAAAGATATCTTGGAGGCATAAAAATTATAGATTTTATTTCTTGTAACCCCCTAAGTTAATTTAAACCTTATTTTTTAGGCCAAACAAACCTAAAAAAACATTCCTTTTTCTAAAAAACCATCGTCCCAAATTTCTCTCTCTATCTCCCCAAATTTCTCCCTCTCAAATTTCCCCTTCCTTAAATTCTGTATCTCTTGACCACTCACACGCAGAGACTGAGGAACCAAAATTCCTATGAATAAAAAAATGCATTTCTACAAGAAACAATAATAAAAAAGAACTATAGAGAGAGAAGGGAGAGGCAAACAACTGTTAAAAAAGAAGAAAGAAAGTGTGGGAGAGAGAACGAGTGCCTCGACTCCCCCAAAGAAGGCTAGAAGTCATAGTCGATATCAGAAGCATTTGATGAGACCGACTGCCTCACGAGCCTCCCCGCCTCATCATACAAGTCAAGGTTCATGCATGGGGCTGGGAAGACTGACCCTATCACCCTCCCACTCACATGCGAGCACTGAAACACATGCTTCTTCTTATATGACAACCCCACTGATAAATCACGAAACTCCACATTTTTTACTGGGATCTCATCACTACCCTCGATTCTAACAGGGACCCTAACCAATTGTCCATGGATCCCAGCAAACGTGATGTTCTCAAGGGCGGGTCTTGCCATCGGGTCATAGCCAGAGTCCGGATGCTCATTGTAGTCGGTCTTTATGACAATGCCAACACGAAGGTTGTCAAAGGTGAGGTTGTGGTACAAGATGTTACGCACGTAGCCCCCACGGCCAGGGGCAGTCTTGATGCGCACAGCACGCCTCGAGTTCCATATGAGGGCATTCTCCACTAAAACGTCCGAAACACCCCCCGACATCTCACTGCCGATAGATACCCCTGCGCTGAAATTTGTGACAGGTTTTTGTCAACATTGGTTTATTTTGTGTGAGATTTCTTTTGTACGAGAGAGAGAGAGAGAGAGAGTAGGTTGAGAGAAGTAAAGGAAGACACGAACTAAAATAGTTATAGTCGGTCTACCGTAGGTGTACTTAACTACTATACTACGTAGTAAGTTGGTCGTA